CGGACTGAAGGGTCCTGGGTTCGATTCCAGTCAAGGGCATGTACCTTGGTTGCGGGCACATACCCAGTAGGAGGTGTGCAGGAGGCAGCTGATCGATGTTTCTCTCTCATTGATGTTTCTCTCTATCCCTCTCCCTTCCTCTCTGTAAAAAATCAATAAAATATATTAACAAAACAAAACAAAAGTTTTAGGGGTCACCTGAGGTTGAGATTGGCAGATAAGGAAAGTGAGGAGCCTCAGATGTACAGGTGGTTCTCTCCCATGGGACATTTGGTGAGTTTTATGGCTGTCCAGATATTCTAAACATAATGCAGTTAACTTAGAAATCAATAAGAAGGTAAGTGAAAACCTTACTGCACATATTATAAATACATAATTCTAAATAGCCATGAATCTAAAAGTCATAGTAAAAGTATAACACTTAGAATTAAAACAAAATAACATAGACCAATATGTGTTATATAGCTAAAGGAGTATTTAGAGGACTATCTATCGCCTTAAATGCTTATATTAGAGAACAAAGAATGAAATAATGAGCTTGCAATTCATCTTAAGACAATAAAAAAGGCATTTTCACATTCAAAACACAGGGATTATCTTCCAGTATGAATTCGTTTATGTATAATAAGTGAAGAACTCTGACTGAAGGCTTTTCCACATTGAATACATTGATAGGGTTTCTCTCCAGTGTGAGTTCTCACATGCACTTTAAGGGATGAGAGACCACTAAAACCTTTTCCACTGTCCTTGCATTCATAAAGATCTTCTCCAGTGTGTATTTTCGTGTGAACTTTAAGGTGAGAGCTTGTGTTGAAGGCTTTTCCACAGTCGCTGCATTCATAGAGTTTCTCCCCAGTGTGTATTCTCTTGTGCATCACAAGGTAAGAACTTGTTCCAAAAGACTTCCCACAATGACTACACTCAGAGGGTTTCTCTCTGGTGTGAGTTCACAAATGAGCCTTAAGAGATGTTTTTTGACTAAAAGCTTTCCCACATTGATGACATTCGTAGGGTTTCTCACCAGTGTGAGTTCTTACATGTCTCCTTAGGATTGAGGAATCATTGAAGACTTTCCCACATTCTTTACATTCATATTGCTTCTTGCCCATGTGACTTCTTTTGTGCAAAATAAAATTAGAAATCTTTTTGAAGGCTTTTCCATACTGATTACATTCATAATGTTTCTCTCCAATAGGAGACTGCTCCTGTTGCTTAAGGAATGAATGATGACAAGTTTTATTTTTATTACATTCATAGGAATTTTCTGCCGTTTGAAATTGTTATGTATAGGAAGCATCTTAGGTTTGAAGTGTATTCCATGTTTGGAGCATGTATACTATTCTTGTGCTGTTTGAATTCTTGGAAGATATCATAGTGCTCTAGCATATTCATAACTTTCACAGAGCTTCTCACTCACAAAATTTCCCCCATAATTATTTAGGGTGGAGTTATGCTTTAAACACTCAATATAGAAGTAACAATTATGGCATTGTTTGCTGGTGAAAACTCTCTTTGAAAAAAGTTTTGATCTAAATTTAGAGTTTTCCTATAATTCATGATAGTCATAGAATCTTGATAGGCTGTCTTCTTGGGGGTAAATATCATTTGCTCTAAATTACCCTGTGGGATATTGTGTTTTCTGTTCTTATGGCATTCCAGTCTTCTCTTAATGTGGAAGACCAACCACCCACTGTGAATCTTACCATCTTACCATTGGGTGTCTTTTCCCCAAAAATATTCTGCTTAGGAGTTGGTTCATTGTTTTTAGTTAGAATATCCCAATCTAGGTAATTGGCTTTGGGAATTCTTCTTTTCATAGTTCTTATCTCTTCTTGACCCAGCTAGGAGATCACAGAAGGCCTGCATAATTGATATGCCACTGAGGTGAGATTTATGTAGTTTTCCAACATCATATTTCTGTACATATGTCTCCGAGCAGAGTTCAGCATTATCCATTCCTCCTGTGTAAACTCCACGGCCACATCTTTAAATGTCACTGGTCCTTGTAAGTAGGTGGCTGGAAATCCATCCACCATTCTTTCCTCCTCAGTATTTCTCACATGGAAACAGGCAGATTCCTGTGCAGTCAGAGCCCACATAGGAGATAGGTCAATAGCTGTCATCTCGAGAGTCTGAAAGTAACATCTGCCTGCATAACAGGGTAGAGAGATCAGGATATTTCTTTTCTTGTTCTCTGATCCAATCAGGGCAGGGATGCACTTCACTGAGCATCTTCCCTGTAAGTAAATTGGCAGGTTCAGTTAAAAGAAGAAAGGTGGAAACAAGGCCCCACTGGAGGCAAGATAAAAAAAAACAATTATACCCATCTCCCTACTTTCAGCAATTTCTGACCAGCTTAAATCTTCATTGGGATTGTACTAACATGCATTATAGTCATCCCTTGTCATCATTATTTTTGTTGTTGTTAATCCTTACCTGAGGATATTTTTCCATTTATTTTTATGGAGAGTGGAAGGGAGAGAGACAGAAACATTCATTGGTTGCCTCCTGCACGCACCTCACCCATGACAGGGAAAGCAGCAACCAAGGTACATGCCCTTGACCGGAATTGAATCTGGGGCCCTTCAGTCTGCAGGCCGATGCTCTACCCACTGTACCATACTGGCTAGGGCAGGTTTGTTATTTATCCTGGCTTCACCTGCAGACTACTACTTAGCCCTGGGTCGAAGGAGCATACATTATTAAAAAAACAAAACAAAAACTTAAGACTAAAGAGAACCAGTCAAAAAGGCATAGTTGGCCCTAGCAGCTGGTTTGGCTCAGTGGATAGAGCGTCAGCCTGGGGCCTGAAGAGTCCCAGGTTTGATTCTGGTCAAGGGCACATGCCTAGGTTGTGGGCTTGATCCCCAGTGGGGGGCGTGCAGGCAGCAGCCGATCAATGATTCTCATCATTGATGTTTCTATCTCTCCCTCTCCCTCTCTGAAATCAATTAAAAAATATGTTTTAGGCAGCGCCCTCGCCTGCAGGAGGGGCAGGCGGTCAAGCAGGCGCAATTGGGCGCTGCTGCTCTCGGAGCTGGAGCTGCGGGAGAGACCAGCCTAGAACTAGACGTAGGCGCACTGGTCGGCCTGCGCCTCCCGCCAGCGCTCCAGGCCCTGAGACCGGCTATGCAGGCTTTCCCGTGGATTGTCTTCTGGCCTCAGAGTATTCCTTGTCAGAGCCTCGGGCCCTTGGACCCCTTGACTCAGTACTTGGTGGACCATGATCACGCCCTCCTGCGTGATGGGTACTGGCTTGCCTGGCTGATTCACGTGGGAGAGTCCTTGTATGCCATGGTATGTGCACATCTAAAGGCGTCACGAATGGTCGGGCTCAACCAGTGTGTGTGTGGTTGAATGGACGACCGGATGACCAGAACCTTAGCATATTAGGCTTTTATTATATATGATGATAGAGTTCAGTTTTAATGGACAAAATTATAGAATTGGCATTGTAATGTAGACAGGTAGGTTCTATGTCCTTAAACCAGAAAAGCATGTCGCTGTTACTTTAGTGTGTATCTTACAGAAATACATTTTTCTGAACATAAAGGATTATTATCCTGGAAAAAAGATTCCAGGAAACAGGATACCTAACAGAGATGAGATGAGGGTAAAGGGAAGTCCCAGTGTGCCAGTGTGCCGCATGCTTAGAGAATAACTGGTCACCCTATCTCGGTGGGAGCATCATCCCATACACCAAAAAGGGTACGGGTTTAATTCCTGGTCAGGGCATAGACTAAGTTGCGTGTTTGATCCCTAGTTGGGGTGTGTACTGGAAACAACCAATGGATGTTCTCTCTCTCCCTCTCACTCTCCCTCCTTTTCCCTTCCCCTCTAAAATCAATAAAAACATGTCTTCAGCCATGCTGGCGTGGCTCAGTGGTTGAGCGTCAACCTGTGAACCAAGTTCGATTCCCATTCAGAGCACATGCCCAGGTTGGGGGTGTACAGGAGGCAGCCAATAAATGCTTCTCTCTCTCATCATTGATCTTTC